CGGGCGATAAGCCGTTCAGATGCACCGTGTGTCAGAAGGCCTTCACCACCAAGGGGAACCTAAAGGTAAGACCTGCTTGCGCTTCACTAACGCCACTAATTTGGGTTTGGAGCCGTATGCACATGTTACACATTTCAATCTAGTCCATTCCGGTAGTGGGAAACCTATCTAAACCTAGCCATAGAAATAGAATAAATGATAGTGTGCATATACAGGCTGTATTATGAAAAACGCCCCAAGTCAAAACTCCATTATTTTTAAAGTTATGACAATACTTCTTAGAACAAAGTTGAACATTTTTTGTCATCTATCGTTTAGAATAGATGCTAAATTAATACTGTTTTCTGTTTCACCGGAAATGACAACAACTGTATTTTTCTAATGGAACATCCTGTATATTTTACCACTTTTGGATTCTTTGTTTAATTGTCTTTTAACAAGTTTTAGTACCATGTGAGATATGAGTCAATTAAAAATTTATTAAAGTAGGCAGTGGAAAACAATAATATTAAGTAATGTTGACAAATATTATTACTTTGCATTTTCTCTTATTATTTTTATACTTTTTGGTGATAATGTGTTAACAGACATGATTCAATATTATTTTGAAAGCAATAAAAATAGTTGAAGACCACAACGCCTTACACTGGGCGATTTCCAATAAGAGAAGTTCCAATTTGTCGATCTGAGGAAAATTTGAGGATGTTTGGGGTTTTTAGAAAACCCAAGTTAGAACAGTTGCGTGCGATAAGCCAACGTTACTTGCATTTTCTTCAATTCCTATCTAATTCTGTATCTCTCTGAAATTAGAGATGTTTTAATTTGGGTTTTCTAAAAGCCCAAAACATCCTCAAATTTTCTTTAAGTCGTTTAAATTTTCAACGATTTGCAGGGCTGTACCCAAGGGGGGGGGTTTAGGGGGTTTAAACCCCCCCCCCCCCCCGAAATGCTGAGCACTTTGTTATAAGTGTTAAAAATTTAGTTTTTTTGTTATTTCAATGAGTTGATTTTAAATTTTTGTGAATTAATTTTTCATGTGTTAATTATAGTGTTTCATTTTTATTGTTAGGTACAAATTTAAATAGTTAATAGAATATTAAATTTTAAGATAAAAGTGTTTTGAAAAATGCTATGAAAAGGAGCTACACCCCCTAAAAAAGGTACGTTTTTTAAAGGGTTTTTCCTAATATTTCAGAATAGATAAAATTACAAAATTTGGTACCTTTATATGTACACCCAAACAAATGCCAAATAACAAAATTTTTAATCAGGGGCGACCTAAACGGTAAAACAAATTTAATTTTTAATTTTTATGCTGTTTATGGTCTGTAACATAAATTTTTAAACCGATTTTTACAAAAAATCCGTAAATTGTATCGGAAAAACTATGAAATTTTGTTGCTGAAAGTGGCAAGAAACCACAGGCAAAGTAGTTAGAGTAAATTTTTACCCTAATCCCATCTAGTTTAGGAAGCACCTAATTAAAAAAATTACATTTTATTTTTGTACTTGTTTAGGTGTATAAAAGTTATCATCTGTAGCAAATTTTGAAATTTTTTCTAAAATGATTTCGGAAATATTGAAAAATAAACTATTAAAAAACGCACCCCTTGCGTAGCACTTTTCGATATATGTTCATAAAAAAAATTTGTTTTAAAAATGAATATTCATCTCCTGTTTAAATTTGGAACAATAAAAAGTATTAAAAATTTATTTTATTTTTTGTTACTTTTGTGAGTTAATTTGAATTTTTTTATGTTTAATTAGGATCTCTTATTTTAATTAAAAATAAAAACGTGTACTTAGAGATTTTTGATTTTTAATCCGCCTTCTTTCATTTCATTTTCATGGGCCAACATATGGCATATGGTACTAAAACTTGTTAAAAGACAATTAAACAAAGAATCCAAAAGTGGTAAAATATACAGGGTGTTCCATTAAAAAAAATTGAGTTGATGTGATTTCCGGTGAAACAGAAAACAGCATTAATTTAGCATCTATCCTAAACGATAGATGACAAAAAATGTTCAACTTTGTTCTAAGAAGTATTGTCATAACTTTAAAAATAATAGAGTTATGGCTTGGGGCGTTTTTCATAATACAGCCTGTATCTCGATCTAGCTTTTGCCTATTGTCTAAGGGGGCTCTTATTTGGGTTGACTTTCTGCAGGTACATATGGGAACACATATGTGGAGCAACGGAGCGTCGCGACGCGGCCGTCGCATGTCTCTCGATCTGCCCCCCATTCCCATGACACCCAAGGATTCCGAATTTCTGCAACGGAGGCCCGACCTTTTTTATCCGTACCTACCGGCCCCATTCCTTAACGGCATGCAGCAGAAGGTGAGATAGTTGTCTTGAAGAAAGTTTTCTAATTATTGAGTTTCAGTTGAACGAAATGTCAGTTGTACAAAATAACCAAAACGGGATGGCGGGCAAGTACAGCGGTCTTCTAGGCTTCGGCTACCCTCCACCGGAGGCGCTGCGATCGCAGGGTGGTTCCCCCGACCGACCCGAGAGGCCTCCCAGTCGCGATCCGGAGTCCCGGAGTCTGTGGGACCTTCATTTCGAGCGGAAATCAGCCCCGGAAGCCCCACGAGAGGAGCTGCTGCCGGCGAACAGAGAGGGTTTGGCGGCCTGAAATTTTGGTGTTCCTATTTCAACTAGTCTAAGAGCGGATCGGGGCAATGCATACTGTGATACATCAGCCGTAAAAGCTGCAAGGACAGCGACTAATACTGCTGTGTTTTCTTAGAGTTATTTTCATTAGAGCCTGTATTATAGCTAAGTGTATATGACTATAACTCGTATATCGTTTGCTGTGTTATATTACGTGTCGAGGACACTGGCGACGCCAGTACTAGCTTTACAACACCCTGTACATAAATAGTACATAAATGCATTTGAGAATCATTGTACCGTATGTTAGATGTTGTCCATGAGTTTGTTAACCCTGCTTAGCAGGTCACGTGGCATTCTATGTATATATCACTCTGTGCGATGAGACTGTTTCATATTATTGATGTATGCTTTTCTTCCCTCCTCAAATACAACTCCTGAATCACTCATTACATTCGACTCTTCCTCTTTCTTGAGACAGATTATTACATGCTCATCTACTCCACATCAAGTGACATCAACACGTATCTCAATCGATAGATATTGTTTGTAAACATATGAGATTTATAAAATAATACAGTGTAAATGTAAGTAATTTGAAATGTTTTTATTTCAGGATGAATGTACAAATATTTTTAACTGGTGCGCTATTTAACTATGTCTGTATTTATAAACTCGTACAAACCAGTTAAACTCTGTTTAATTATAAAATATAAATATTTATCACATATAAATTGGGTGGTTTTATTTTCCTTGAGCTACTAATAAAAAGAAAATTTACAATAGGTATCTGTAAATTTTACCGTAGATCGTTTTCAGTTTTGAAAGTCATACTCTGTCCGAGGTAATTAAGCAAATGAGTAAAAAAAGGACTTTTAAAACAAGTTGTACACAACATTTTTTTACATAGTGATAACCCTAAGACCAAAAAGATATCAATTTGATAAAACAAATCGTAATGTATCGCGAGCTCTTTGTAACGAACTTTATAGAAATATAACTGTAGAAATCGTTTAAAAAAATACAGAGTAGTTATAAATGATTTTCATCTAGCCAGCTTTGGAATTTTTTTGCATGTAACTTTATTTGTGCCGCTCTACTTTTTTGAAAGCTCTAGTTCTGTCATTAGTGTCACTTATTAATTAATAATAAATTGTTGTTAATTAAATTTTTATTGTTTCAACTAATTTCCAATATTAATTGATAATAATGTATACTTTGGAAGAAAACAAGTTTATAATTGAAGTCTATTTTCGAAGTAGACGCTTAGTAAACGGCGATTTTTTTATTTTGAGTTACAACAAGTAGGTACCCCTATTTTCGTAAAGCGGCATTTTTTATTTTACATGGAAAATTCACAGCTGGCTAGATGAAAATCATTTATAACCACTCTGTATAACTTTCAATACGATTAATCGTGATGAAAATTCAACTTTCATAATCACTATGCAAAAAAATTAATATTATGTGCTCCTACAAACTAATGAGTTAAGACTGTTTTTGATATAAAGCGAAATATTCAATAATTGCAATTATTTGTTTTTTTTTGTAAATAAATTTCTATTTCTTTTTGAAAAGAAATTAATGGTTTTTTTAAAGATCGGTCATAACGTGCCACCTCATGGCCGGTGGAAGAATGTTTTGAAAACAGATAAAGTTTATAATTTTTTTAACATAAACTGTAACATTTTCAATAAATATTTTTGTACATTTATGAAATGCATGAATATACGAGTATCCTTGTAAAACAATAAATAAAAAACTGTTTTTATTTAAGAAAAAAATTATTAGTATAGTAATCTCAAAAGTTTAAACAATTAATTAAAATAAAAAATATTTTGGCATTGCGTCTTTACAACCTTTAAACATTTATTAATTTATTTCCAAAAAACCTCTTAGTTTATTCAAAAAAAATCTTTAATTTAAGTCAAAGATTTTTTTTAAATATTAAAATTTCCAAAAAAAAATCTGCATAGCAACAATTCTTGTAACAAGCTCGTTGTCTAAAAAAAATTCTGATAGGTTTCCATTTAAAAAAAATTGTTACTATATTTATCTCGTAAGTATATATATTTTTTTGAATAGCATTTTTGTAGCCATTGCACACCTATAAATTTATTTGCAAAAAAAATTGATAGTTTCGCCAGAATAAAATGGTTTCCAGACTCTTGGACGACCTGTCTAATATTCTAATATTACAAACTTTTTGTAATACTTTTTTTCACCGCAATAACTTCGAAAAGCACAAACACCGAAAGTACAAAGAACTATTTTGCGTCGTACTAATATTTTTTTTAATTTTTAAAATAAATTTGTCAGGAGGAATCGTAAAAGTTATTGATAATAAAATTCACGCATGTCTAAGCTTTCAGTTATGAAAGGCTAATTAAATTAAAGGCTTTATGCAATCTGTTCCATTTAGTTTCATGAAAGGTCAGCACGTAAGAACCACAATGAGTTCAACAAAAATGGTAAAAATTCTTGTTTTGTTTCTTACATTCCAACAGTGTGCGGTATGTTGAAAAAATACATTCGTTTGCTTGCGGATTAGAAACATTAATTCTGTTTTAGTGCCATTTATTGAAAGTAACTGATCGAGTCTATTTCGATATAGAATCTGATGGTAAATATCTTGGTAGAATTGTGATTGGACTCTTTGGAGAGATTGTACCAAACACTGTTTTAAACTTTAAGCAGATTGCAACAAACGGAATCGGTGGCAAAACATACGAAGGTACAAAGTTTCACACCGTTATTGAAAGATTTATGATTCAAGGTTTCTTATTATTAATGTTATGAATAAATGTTTTATCATGTTTTATTTAGGTGGTGATGTGATTTACAATAATGGTTCGGGTTCGATTAGCATTTACGGAAAGTTTTTTAAAGATGAAAATTTCACAGTGAAACACAATGGGCCAGGCATTGTTAGTATGGCAAATGGTGGTAAGCACAACGAAAAATTACTATTTTTTATTAAAACAAGTTTTATTATGTTGTTATTTTTTGAGGACCCAACACTAACGGATGTCAATTTTTCATAACAACAATGTTTGCTCCTTGGTTGGATGGAATACATGTTGCATTTGGAAAGGTAAAACTAATCACGTTTCATTTTAGTCAAAAAATTAACATTTTCTTGTGGTCTAGGTGCTGACTGGTCAGGACGTTGTTCACAAAATAGAACATTTGAAAACTGATTCTAATAATCATCCTTTACTTGATGTGACTATAATTCGATCAGGACTACTTAAAACTAAGCCTTTTTATGAATCGGATGAACCATATGAGTAGGTTTCGAAAATGTCTTGGTTTACAAACAAAATATTTTTTTAGATTAACATTTTGGGCATGGATTAAAGCTGGATGGTTCCCATTATCTTTTTCATTCGCAATCATTGGATTTTTTCATTGGTTTATGATTCAATTGAAGTAAATTGTACATAAGATTATGTAAACATTTTTGTTTTATTTTTTTTTATAAATAATATCTGGTTTTTCAATAAATCTGATTAATTAAATAATAGTTTGGAATAATATGAAATTGATTTTTTTTACCACTTGCAACACTAAAATTCTAGTTACACAAAACACAATCACAAAAGTGTATAACTGGTTGCATATAAAGTTTGTCTAAGACTTACCTGAATCACTCTGTAAGTATTGTTGATTGCAGCCCATCTAATGTCAAACTGACGTTTAAGTCTTAGGTTATGTTTTGAAATAATTTGTGAAAAATATGTTAATGTTAATCTTCTAGAAATGAACGAGGAAATTGACGAATCGGAGTTTTACCACCAAGATTTTACAACCGCCTCCGAATGGGAAATTTTTATTGCACGCATTGAAGAGATCATAAATCAATGGAAAACGGAAGAATTAAAAGATTTAGATAATGAATTTGGCGAAATTTGGAGCATCAAAAGCAAAAACCTCTGCTTCGTTGACGTTGACTTCAAGTTGACTTTTCTTAGAAAACAATCCAGTTTGTCAAAGGAAGAAGACAATGAGGAAGTCAAGAAGAAAAACCCTTTTGACACATTGTACGATTTTGAACTATACAATTCAATGAACACAGTTGAACACTCCTGTCTAAGTAAATGGTACGGCATTGATGAATACATAGTTTTAAGTCCTTCGGGCAATTTTGGAATAAATTCAGAAAGTCGGATTAAAGTCTTGCTAAGCTCCGTGTATGTTGCATCAGCTAACTTAAAGTGTGAAATCCCGATTTTTGTGCAAATTAGAGAAAAATGGCAAAATTGCTATTTAGGCGTTTACGAATCGGATTCAATAAGAACCAATCTAGAGATGGTGCATTTGAAAACAAGTCCGCGATCGTATCAGTATTTGTCAGGATTGTTGGAGATGTTCAAATCGAAAATCCTCTCACCCATGACGATGACCACCATCATGGTCTCCTTACAATCAAGCTACGTTTTAACAGATTTTGGTAATTTTGTGTGGAAGCAAGATTACATAAACTTCGACAGTGACCACTTTGATGGCACAGAAGTATACAATGTCCCATTTGGGGTAACAGTCGACCCAATAGAGTCACTAATCCTCAAGACATCATGGTCTCACTTAAACCATCGTGCTGTTAGAGACAGCGAAAGTTACAGTGATTTTGACCCAATGTTGGCCTCAAAGTGGACGTTGTTAATCACAACAGCTGAACAACCTCTTTGCTTACTTGGAGAATGTTTGACGGAATTTTTACATTTATTAAACAACTCGTCTTCAACGTATGATGTCTTGGGCGAGTTTGCGACATCAGCCACAGGAGCAGCTGATGTGAATAACCCTTTGGATTTATTAACAGAGCCTAAGGTACCAACAATATCAAGTTTACTCACAAGAGCGGCCAGAAATTCCTTGACGAAGAACAGAAGGGGCGTTGCACCTTTGTCTGAAGAGGTTTTAGTGCCTATACTGTACTTTTTATTTCCTGATGCGGAAGAAGACTCTCCTCATGTCTATAAAGAAATGTTCAACACCAATCCCACCAATCCACCGCAAACGGTGAGATGTTTTTTTCACATCTAACACATTTTTTTCTTGAAAAGTCCAATAATTCACCAGTTATGGGGCGCGTTTTACATAATTTATTAATTAAAAAATGTTTTAGATAGGTTTTTTTTATACAGGGTGAGTCAGAACTCGCGCCCCAGAGAAATGTTTAAAAAATTCTGTCAAAAAACTTTTGACATTTGCCAAAAATTATTTAATTTCAAGTTCATTTCGATTTGATTTTGATCAACAAAGCGATTTAAAAGTAGGTGATACTCATGACTTTGATTTAAAAAATGTTCCAGATGCAATAAGTTCGAAAGTAAAATTTGTCTTACTAGATAAAATTCAAAATTTAGAAAAAAAGTTACAGGAAGCAAATGTGAGATTTTAAGTGTTGAATAAGCTGTACGAAAATAAACTTGAAAAAAACAAAATGCAGGAAAAAATTGACATTTACAGTAAAGGTCAACATTGTGAAGTGAAGATTGAGTCAGATGCAAAGGACTTAGAACCAAGGGCTATGTTTTTATTTGAGCAAATTTATAATTATTCCCTAAAAAAACTCAAGATGGTATAAAGTTACAGTACGTTATTTTATTGCGTGGAGGTACACTTCTCCAAAAGCTTATGAATTTGCAAGAAGAAGTTTTTAAAAGCTCGATCCAAAACAACTTTAAACAGATATATGAGAAATTCTTAAAGCAAAAAAATAATAGAGAACTAATTAATAGAGAATAAAATTAGTCCTTGTGTTTTTATTCAAAGTATTAAAAAATAATAAAGAGTTATTGTAATTTTCTTGTAAATTTGCATAGATTAAAAATAGCTATCTAACTCAAATGTAAATATTTTTTTTAATGAATAAAATTATATTTGCTTATAAAATGTTATAATTTTTGATGTTTTTGGTCTAGTTCTTAGAAAAAATTACAATCAACAAAAAATTATTATACAACCCATGAAAGAAAAGTAAATTTTTGTATACAAAAATTTATCAAGGTTTCAAACCAAAGTATACAGATTCCATTGGAGCGCGGACTTGTCGCTCCCCCAACGGCCATTTTTTTGACATTGCGTAGATTTTTTATTATCAATCAACGCAGACGACGCTTTTTTATAATAATGTGCATCAAGTAGGTTGTAGAAGTCTAAACGAATCTTTAATTTAAAGGCCGATTTACACAAAAAGTGTCATTAATGTTATTCAGAACAAATTTAATCACATATAATCAATAATGACAAAAATCGTTATGTTTGCCATCCTATGTTAATTACGTTGTTAATTTTAATTATTTTTTGCTACATTTATTTGAAAAAAATATTTTTAGGGAAGATTGAAGTTAGGATTGTTTAAATTTAGCATGGTTGCCACCTTAAAATGATACCTTTCAACGACTACTTAATATATCATATTATCATGATACTGATGATCTTGTATGTGTTTTTTTATAATTATTTAGTAAAGCGACAAAAATTTTGCCAATAAAAACTTGCCTCCTTGTTTCCTCTTTTAATAGCCTGTAGCAAAAAAATTTGAAAGTTATTTTTTCAACAGGAATAAATAGAGTCAAAGCGCAAAATTTAAATTCTCATAACTTCGAAATTTTTATAGATATCATTTTTTAAACATTTTTTTCGTGTTCCTGATGTCTTACCTCACATGGCTTTTTTGCTTCTGGGACGCGAGTTCTGGGCACCTGTATATTTTTTGCTTGTTTATGTATAAATTCGTTACCTCATTGTCTCAAAAAAGTATGTGATTTTTTTCTTTGAATAAAAATACGTTTTATTACTTTTTATCTTATGGATGTTCTTACACTGTATGTTAAAATATCTGTTTCGTCAGTTGCGTCAGCAGAAAAGCGAATCAGTGATGTTTTACTGTAATTTTTTGTAATATTATTTTGTAAAGTATTCATCCATCCCTGTGACAGTTGAATTTCGTAACATTGTATCGTAAATTTTTAGTAGAAAGTCAAAATTAAATGTGTATTTTACATATTCTAGGACATCTAATTAAAGAAGTATATGTTCTTGTACGCAACAAAATCTCAGAAAGAAAAAATATACAAAATAATGCTTGAAAGACAATTTCCGACAAAATTAGGTGACATTCAAAATTATTGACACCTGATGATTTTAAGCTTAGATAGACAGTTTTTGCCCACATTTTTTAAGGCAATTCCTCGAGTATTTCGTTTCAATTTCAGGAAGAAAACCTTAACCTTGATTATGAATGTCGGGGGTTTAAAACATGCAGTTCCGACTCTTTGATCTGGCGATTATCAATCGTTTTGGGTCACGCACTCCAGTCCCTTGGTGGCATTCGAGCCTTTTCACACTTGTGGTTCGAATTCGTCCAAGAAATGAGGTACAGATGGGAGAAAAGCATTCCAATTCCTGGGTAAGTCATTTAGAAAATTGATTTATTTTTGCAAAGTTATATACAAAATAAAGTCATACTTCCGTCAATATAAATAGAGAAATATCGTTTAAATATAAAAATACTTTAATATTATTTATTCCTAAACAGTATTAATAACTATTTAATCTAATTGTTAACTGATCCTACTATCAGTCGTGCTGTTTACAATTGTTTTGAATCAAATAACAGCCTTTTTGAATCATTGTTAGCGAACACATAACCATTGAGCAACTAAATCAGAGCGGCACAAGACCGTTTCTGGTGGTGGGGTTCCTCGCCATGTAAATGTCCATATCGTGGTCAGTCCAGTTATCGGAATTGTCGCAATAATTATTTAAAGTGTGAGTCGATCCAGCTGTGCTGTAACGGCTACTTGGTCTGTTGTAATCCCGGGATCGGGATCTGGGTCTGGAGCGTCGGGAGGACGCCACGGAATGGGTGGGTCCATGGTGACTAGGTCCACGAGTCGATAATCTATCCGATTGCATGGTTAAAGACTGTCTTGATTGGCGCAAATCTGCAGTAAAAAAAGTAAACACAACTTAAAATTTATTTTATGATCTTTCCATTCACTATGCTTTAAAATAAAGAAAAAATACCCATATTCCTTAAAAAGTTTGCTTTTGTGGTAGTTATGATAATAAACCCTATTTCTTGAGTTATCATATTAAAAAAAAAATGGGACTACAGGGTGGATACACAAAATATCCGTGTAATCTCTGTTTGTGGGATAGTAAGGCAGATGCTCAACACTATATTCAATAATCATGGCCACTATGAACTGAATTTTGTATTGTGAAACTAAACGTTAAATGTGAACCTATTCCTGAACCTGAAAATGTATTAATGCTGCCTTTACACATCAAGTTAGGCCTTATGAAACAATGCGTAAAAAAACTAGATGAAAGATCTGAAGCTTTTATATTTTTAAAAAACTTTTTTCCAAAGTTGTCAGAAGCAAAGGTTAAAGCTGGAATTTTTGTTGATCCACAAATAAAAAAAACTTTTTGCCAGTGAAGAATTTCCAAAACTACAAAACAAAAAAGTTGGAACAGTTTTAAAGCAGTAGTTTTTGGATTTTTCGGGAATAACAAAGTTATTCGAGAGCTAGTTGACAACATGTTAAAAGATTTTAAAACTATGGGCTGCAGAATGTCTCTAAAAGTACATATAAATTTGAAAACAACATGGGGGCGTATTCAGAAGAACAAGAAGAACATTTTTATCAAGACATCATGGACTTCGAACACCGTTATCAGGGCCAAAATGAGAGGGGACTACATTTAAAGTTTAGTGAGACAAAGTACTTATAAACATGAAAGAAAAAGATGTATATAGGGTTCACTTATGAACTTTTTTCTATTTTGTATTTTTTTGTAATTTGATATGATATTAAAAGCTGATAAAAATTTATACATAAGTATACCGGGTGCGGCATCCGTTACTCCCAGAAAGAAAATCCCCACTTCTAATTAAATAAAATTGTTGAATTTTTTCACACTTACGTGGGCATTAGTAAGGTACATTCTCTATTTTTTTGGTAATTTTTCATTTACAAACAAAGCCAAAAAAAAAGTAATTTTCTCCAAAAAAGTTTAATTCTAATTTTTATACTGACCTACACAGATTCACTTCCTACAATTGTTTACAAAATCAGAAAAAAAAAACATCGATTAGATTTTGAATTAAACGCAATTTTCCATCTTAACTTTGAAAATAATTTTTCTTTATGACCTGCTACTTGTGCCGTCGTAAATTTAGGTGACAATGGGGAACTGCAATTGGGGTAAGACTCTTTAAAGCGGTCGGCTACCAGTAAATGATTCTTTTGTTGGCCAATTATGCCATTTTCTCATAAATGACGGGTCTGGTTTGGGTTTAAATAAAAAAAGCGATTTTTTGGCTAACCAAGTCAAAATTTGAAATTGTGATATCAAAGTTTGATGCGCTAACAGGTACAGATTCATTTAGTGTAAAAACTTTATAGGTAAATTAACAGAAAGTAAAAAAAAAAATAGAAAAATTCTCAAATTATACTCTATCAATAATTAGTTAAGTATATGAAATATCGCCAGTTTTAATTAATTAGAAGTCGCGATTTATCAATGAGCGTAACCGATGCCGCACCCGGTATTTGTTTCGATTTTTTTACAAATTAACATTTAAACTATGAATTTTGTAAAATGTTGATCTACCGTTCTCCTGGATTCAAAAGCAAACTTTTTCAGGCCAGATTGTTACAAACTTAAACAGGTGATTGTATATTCAATTTTAAGACAAAAGTTTCCTATGAACATGTATCAAAAAATGTTACGTAAGTGGCTACACCCCCTGAAAGAGATGCACTTTTAAAGGGGTTTTCCCACTATTGCAGAATAGATAAAATTACAAGAGTTGGTACAGCTGATTACTTTTATACACCTGAACGAATTTAAAGATCAGTTGTCAAAATTTTTAATCACGGGTCTCTTAAACGGTGAAACAAATTTAATTTTTAATTTTTATCCTCTGTATGGTATGTAAGAATAAATTGTAAACTGATTTTACTCAAAAAACGGTAAGTTTTGTCGAAAAAACGCAAGAGAGCAAAATTTAGAATTTTGTGGCGGAAAGTGGCAAAAACCAACTTTTCACCCTAAACCCCCCAGTTTAGGGCTCCCTTGAGTAAAAATTTCGACATTTTATCTTTGAATTCATTTGGGTGTATAAAGGTTATCAGTTGTACCAAATTTTGTAATTTTATCTACGATGGTTTCTGAAATATTGGAAAAATTCCATTATAAGCTGCACCCCTTTCAGAGGATGTGGCTGCCTTATATAAATTTTTTTATATTTGTTTATAGGAAACTTTTATCTTAAAATTGAATATTCTATCACCTGGTTAAATTTGTAACAATAAAAATGGAACTAACTTATCGATAAATCTGTCAAAATTTCATAATCTATTATCAAAGTCAAAATTTTTGATTTATTTACCTTGACGCGAAGTTATTAAGTTACTGGGAAATGCGTTCAAGTAGCGTCCGGAATGATTCGAGAAACTGTTCTGGGATTGTCCGTCTGCTATTGAGCGCGATTTGGTGCCTTTTGTACTGAAATGTGAACGCATGTCGTCTGCCATTAAAGTGGAAGGCTGGTCCAAGGAGTACATTCGATTGTGTCTTTGGACGCTGTGAGTGCTATAGCCTGAAACTTGGTCCCAGTCCTGGGATTATGAAACGTAGAAAAAGTGTTTTGATTCTGGTAGACTTACTTTGTTATTGTTGAACGCACTAAGTGTAGCCAACGACGATAGTGGTCCTCCTGGACTAGCAGCAGGTCCTAAACCAGTGCAACAGTTAACTGGTAACCCACTTATGGGCAATCCATTTTTCATCCCGATTTTTTGTTGGTGTAATTCGTGCATTTTTCGCGTTCTTCTTCGGGAAGCTGCCACGAATATGACCACAGCAACTACAATAGTGCCACAAATTGCTGCACTTGCAGCTATTGTGATTTTATCCATGTTGGAAGAAGCGGTTGAAACTGTTCTCACTTCACGACATTGTGAATATGGAACGGTTTCGGGTGTGACGTTAATCTCTTCCAAAGAGACCACGCAGACTATGATACATTCCTGGAAGTGGAAAAAATTATTTTTGTTACAATTGAGACCAATGGCAAACCTGCGATGGCACATTTTTAATCTTGAATTCTCTCTCACTGGCCTCTAGAGGAGGTCCTTGTTTGAAACTTTTATCTCCAAATAGTCGATACACAACTCTGAAACCCAAAATATTGGCAGTTTCTGATCCCCATTGGATTATCACTGAGTTATCTTGCCGGAATGCGTTTTTGACTATAACATCATTCGAGTCGTCAATTTTCGTTTTCGTAGGATAATTCATAATGAGGGGAGGTCTCTGTGTGTTTTTCCACGGTGGCGATGTTGTCCTAACTTTCGATTTCGTCGTGGCCGAAGACGTTGTTTTTGTTGTTGTTGTCGATATGGTGCTAGTCGTGATGGTTGTTTTCCTCGTTGTTGGTTCTTTTGTTGTCGTTTTCGGTGGTTGTTCAGAGTCCGCAATTGAAACATCGTCCAAATCGGCACTGACAACCGTAGCAATTCCCACTCCTTCCTCTTTTTTACAAGACAATTCTTCGGGTTGAATGCTATAGAAACCGCGGTCTCTGAACCGTGGAGGACTGCCACAAAATTGAGGGTTACGTTCACGACTAGTTACTTGTAAATCGCCGTTTCTTATCCAATCGATGACCCAAGCTAGTCGACAATCGCAGTGTAAAAATCGCCCACCTAAACTGAGACCTCGAAGAGTATTGTTTAAGTGAGACAAAGCCGAAAATGGGATGGTGGCTAACGGATTTCCGTCCAGAGCTAACAGTGTGATCGAAGGATTGCCTTGAAAGGCTTTATCTGGCAATTCGGTTAGTAAATTGAATCCGATATCCAAGACTCGCAATTCAGACAAAACACTTAAAGCTTCAGTCGGAAAATCAGGGAGTAAATTGTTGAGTAAACTCAGCGAACTGAGGGTTTTTTCTACACCTTGAAACGCATTTTTGTCCAATTTCTGTATTAAATTTCTCTCAAGATTAAGCGCGGTGAGTGAGTCCAAACCTTCGAATGATTTTAGTCCTGTCATTCCTGGAAGTTCCCTCAAACTATTTTGAGATAAATCCAGAAACGCTAAAGTTCTTAGATTTTTCACAGCTTCGGGGATATCTTTCTGACGCGTTCCTTTTAAATTTAAATTTTTTAGGGAGCCTTCGAGCCCCTTTAACGCTTCCAACGATAACGTAACATTATTATCTGATAATTTCAAAGTAGCTAATTTTTTTAAAGTCTCGAAAGCACCATCAGGAACCACACTAATCCTATTATGAGACAAATCCAAAAGTGATAAAGTCCTCAAGGGCCTCAAACTTTCAACTGGCACTTCGGTTAAGTCATTATCTTGCAGATTCAAGTTCTTCAAGTGTTGTTCCAGTCCTTTGAAAGTACCACCCCCCACACTGTTTATTTTACACCCCGATAATTGTAAATTGTGCACTCGAAGGTTCACGAAAATATTGTCATTTAAAGCACCAATCGTGGAGTTATTCACGTAGAGTAAATCAAGTGGAGTCGATGTGGCGTATTTTTGTAAAGCTGTAAGAAGTTTTGGCCAGTCCACCATGTCACATTGCACTGAAAGTTCGTGTCCTAAATTGTAGGAACACAGACATGAGGATTGCAGGTCGATGGATTCTCGTTGCCAAGGGCATTGAGCTGAAGCTAGGGTGATTAGAGCCACAAAAGTGGCGACGATTTTTACTTCTTGCATGATCTGGAAATTAAAGTGTGATTAATTTATTTGTTGAAGCACATTGAGAATTTTAACGGAAGAATTATACGGCAGTGCGTGACTTAACTACTACGAAGAATTCTTTCCTTATTTGCGCATTAGAAGCAATTATTTTTATATTAAAACAGCGCGTGTTGTTAGAACCGCTAGCAATCTTGTTTAGTGCATCCGTTTTAAAAAACCTCAGCGGTTTAAAAGCAGTCCGGTGTTTGTTCCAGTCTGTCCAGTTTATCACATTTCTAAACATAAATCCACTCAATTTAATCGAAATGAAGCGATGAGAAAAATTAGAAAAAATAACGGATTTTACAAAATTACAAATTTAGAAAAATCGTTGTTTTAATGAGTCCTAATTTGTCGGTAGTTCCCATAATCGAGACTACATTACAATAATTACGTAATTATTAAATAATGAAACATCATAATGAAATAATTAGCCGTCACAACATAAACCGTTTTTGTAAAAATAAAGATTTATCAAATCTTTATTCATTAAAAACATAGCGCTATTGATTTCATTTATTTTATTTTTTTTGCTTTTACGTTACTTTTATACCAGGTGAGGAACAAAACGTTTTTTGCTTAAACTATTTATTTTTTTGAGAAATTATCAATGAATTATAAGGTAATATAAAAATGTGATGTTTTATCAAGAATAAAATTTTTCAATTTTTTTTTGAGGTCTACAAAATTTTATTTTTTTTTAAATGGCAACCCACTATAAAACCATTTTTCTCATGAAAGTTATGATATATTACAACTATCTATTTTACATTTAATTTTTTCAAATAAAAAGTTTACATAAATTACAGTTTTTACAAAAAAATCGCAGACAGAATTTCGTTCTCAAAATACGATCGCACTTTTTATACTCCCTTCCTTCACATTTAAGTGTCCGGTTTTGCGAAAATATTTCTCCAGAAATAAATGTCCGAAAAAAAAATAACACTCAGAACATGATTATGTGAAAAATATTTTTTTATTAACACTCTCACGGTGTTTTGTGATTAATTAAGATACCAGGAACATTAAAAAAATGTTTTAAAAACTCTCTGTCAAAAATTTTGACCATGTAAAATTATTTTTCCGACAGAAATAAAGAGTCAAAGTGCAAATTTTAAACTTTCATAACTTCGAATAAGATAAAATTTTTAAACATTTTTTTTAATGTTCCTGGTATCTTATATTACTTGTCTTTTRTTTGGTCTATTTAAAAAACATATCACCGCCAAATATGACGCCAAATTTAAATAAACATCCGTTATAATAATTTTATAATAATAAACAAAATTTACATAGCCTTCGCAAAATAAAGTTAACTTTAGAAAAATGAACAAACAGGACACTTATTTTTGGACAGAGGGAGAATTATTATTATTATTA